CTCTCGACAAATGCATTTGAATTAGCCCACAGGTTCAGTGTTGGACAAGTATACCTTCAAAGTTGCCGAAGGCCGTCTTACCCATTCCCGCTGAAATGCGTTATTGTTTAACTATTAAACATGGCGGAAGAGGTTTATGTTGGTTACTTCCTCTGTGACATCACGGTAGTTTGCTATAACCGTTTACTATCGGCTTCCGGACTATAGTATAGGTACTCACACTAACAATGCAACTTTGTTGAGAAGCGATTCCAGATTTCACTGCAGGTGATAAGATTGGGCCTTGTGTTTATTAGTTGAGTAAATACAATGTTTACCGGTGAATAGCGACTGTCATAGACTCTGTTTAGAACTACTCGTAGTATCAAAATCTGCTCGCAATTTTACATTATTTGTGGTGCTAAAGCTAGCGTAGTAGCGTAGCTAGGTTGCACTCTGGTAGGGTAAAAAGAGTATGCTGCCCGTTTTCACCATCAATCCCTAATTTTTAAGTGACTTCTATGGTGACACATATCAGGCATTTGGTTTTCATGTGGATCACTTAATAATTAGGGATTGGTGGTAAAAACGGGCATGAGACATGTATTGTAAGTACTTTCATTACTAAATAGTCTATGCAAATAAAGACATTTTTATTTTGATTTTAATCTTAAAATAAACCTACTTATCTAAATATATGAATTCCATTTAAAACATCTTTATCAATTAAGCAAAACTTACAAAAATTAAGATTAGAAGCTCGCGATCTTGTTTATTAAGCTTTCCTTGTTACTATAATACGTAAATAGACGTTTACTGTTGCGTAAATCATTTTAGTAACCGTAAAAATATGATCTAGTATGACGTCTTTAAAGCTTAGTGACGATGTTCCAGCCTAATAACTAAAATAGACTTTAAAACTGCGATAGTAAACGAGTGAACTTCCTTCACCTTTGATAAAATTAATTTTAACTCGACCGTAAACTCCGCATAATACGCGTAAATCATCCCATTACAAATCATAGATTCATTTTCTTAAACGTTTATTACGTGACATAATTTTACAATTTGTATGTTCCATCTCTCATCTTTCATCATATCTCAGCCATAGGACGTCCACTGCTGAACATAGGCCTCCCCCAATGCTTTCCATGTTACCCGGTTGGTAATTCGGCCTTCGTCCAGCGCTTTCCTGCTATCTCATCTTTAATAAAGACTATAATTTAATTTCAATGTATCCCTGAGACCTGTTATTCCGTCCACCCCTAAGCACGTTACTACACTTTTAAAATAAGTAGAAACTGGTCAAACATTCAGTAATTGGTACATAGATAATTATAATGAACGTCAAAAGAGGCTGACAAAGGTGACTTATGCCCGTTTTCACCATCAATCCCTAAATTTTTAAGTGACCTCTATGGTACCACATAACAGGCATTTTTTTTTCATAGGGGTCACTTAAAAATTAGGGATTGATGGTGAAAACGGGCATAAGTTTCTTCCGCCACTTCTCAGCGTCGGCCCATATTATGATGTCCCGAAGTGATGGCAGGGCATGCTATATTTGGGACGTGTATAACTCTATAAGCACCCTGGAAAGGGTCTAACGACCGTATTTACAAATATTACTATGAGGTCTCATGGTGCGCGTGGACGCACAGAGTGACACACATACCAATCTCAGAGCTCTATTCAACGCTGTGCGTTCGATTTGCTGCTTCACTTAAGCAAGCATCGTTTGTGAATATGGGCGTAAGTGCTGAATAAAAACTTCAAACGGTTTCAGGAAGCATCACTATGGGTAGACGTGGCTCCAACGACAGACGAAGTGGAAGTTGAGAGGAGGTACACCCCTGAGTTGGAGACTGAACTACAGTCAGCAAAGGTGAGATCATAGAACAGATACACCATGAAAGGGAAAGTATGCTTGTGAAGTACAAAAAGATTTACCTACTAAAATGGATAAAATAGTCACCTACCTGGTGGATTTGGATTTGTTAATTTTTGTTTATTTCTCTTCTAATAAAGAACGACATGCTGAAATATACCTATTCATAGATGGGTACTTTTTTAAGATCACTCACCCATCTGTGTGCTTACCATGAGTTTACGTTAGGTGTACTCGCTAGCGACTGCGTAAAAAAGTGACATTAATTAGTATGACATATTGTGCAGCGCCCCTAGCGGCTACTTTCAAGAAACAAAATCTTCATAGACATTTTTGACGTAATCGCTAGCGAGCACACCTAACGTAAACTCATGGTAGGTACACTGGACCTAGGTACGAATTGTTTTCTTTTACATTATGAGTATAGTTTACTATGGTTTTTATGATCTCTGAAGACTACAAACTCTAGGTACATAATATTAATGATTTAGTTTCATTATTACTATCGATCGATATAAGACCACCTAAATTATGCCGTACCTTACACATATATTTTTTAATGCATTATAAGGCAGCTATTTGACCACGATCGCACCTGGTGTTAAGTGAATTGCAGGCTAGGATGCCATTTCTTTCTCTTTCTTTTCTTGTCTTATGTGGTGTACGAACAATAGAGTGTTTTCTGTCTACAAAACTTAAACGCCCTATAATATCCTACACTGTGAAACTCAAAATTCTTTTAACTTTCAGGATGACGCACTCCTCCTATACACGGAGTTCACCGCGCGATCAGGGTTGGAACTGAAGATGTTCCTGAAGGAGATGACCGGCTTCGCGGACAAGTCGCTTCGCACGATGGACGCCGGGATTCTGGCTAATGCTGTAAGTCTCATTTGTTACTTTACTCAATACTCAATTGTGTATTGTTTTATTCTAAGACACAATTATGGACCCTGTCAGGCACAGCATTCTAAGAGATTTTCGTTCGTGATACGACTAAAGAGAGAGAGAGATAGAGAGAGAATGAGAGCAAAATGGATGGTTTTTTGTGTTAAGGTCCATATTCTTACGTAAATACCTTTAAAACGTGTGGTTCCGTGGTTGCGGTGAAAACTATTGTGATAATAATATGTTACGAGTGTCTAATTACTAATTTTCTTTAATTATTAATTGCATTTTGTATTCGTTCTTACCGCGACATCAAAAACATTTTTTAGATCGTTTGTTTCGATTTTAGAAAATTCGATCACTGTTCAGGTATCTCTTAGAGCCAGGATCTTCTTGATTCCCTAACTGTTATACTATAAGTTTTTCAACAGAAAGACACACTGTCCAAAGTTTTTGCTAATGGATCAACGTTTAGGCTGGCCTAAAGTTCAAACACGAGCTTACGAGCTTTTCTAACGTGGCTCGCGTTTATTCCAGCCCAGATATTGTAGGCTGCGATACGGCTAATGGTCGGCGATGTAGGCCACAGTCCATCCACATACCGGCGGCACGTGTGATGCATCCAGTATGCATTGGTGGTCTAGAGCTGGACAGTATCGATATCGATATTCAAACATATCGTCAAACTACGGGTCTCAATGGTATCAAATGTCGCGTTGAGACCCGTGTTTCTCTATTTTAATTGAAATGGAACGCGAAAGTTTAAAATCTTATATAGTTAAACATTTAGTATTGCCACTAGGACTGGCTGGACTAGGCACATTTATCCATAAAGCTAAACTTTCACAAATTCCAGGTTTGACGAGCTTAGCTTAAAGTTTGTTTAAAGTCGCAGTATTATCTTGTAAATGGTGCAGGTGATGTGATCGGTACTTCTTGCAAACATAATGTTACATGCGGATATAAAACTTATTTTCTTTTCTTTGGCTTCTTTTAAGGTGCCCTAAATTCTGAATACTTGTACTTTTTATCTTAAGAGTGTTTGATTGTTTGAATATGAGCTTGTAATTCGAGTGATAGTGATTAGAACCAAACAAGTGAAATTAATTTTATTTAATTGTTTGAACTATTAGATCAAACCTGGAACGCGTTTCACAGTTTAGACAAGATGATTAACCAAGTTACTTCGCTGCGTTTCTGATGTTATCGATACTCGATAATCTTTGGAATAGCTTAGGTACATCACTATCCAGAGAACTAGAGTGTACTATTACTATTGCGTGTGGATCGCTGTTTTGACTGTACTCTGATACGGTATTTTCTCGCATGCATCAGCATTCAGCACTCCAAACAATATTGTTTTGATTCGAATCACTGCATCCAGAAAGTTTAGTATTTCGGAATTTATTGTTTACATTACTCACATTCTGTTTCATTGTTTACTTTGTGAAAGGAAGCTTTATTTGTTTGTAAACACTATAGTTTGAGTTATTCGTAATATTTGCCAGAATTTGGTCGTAGTTTCGTTTATAAATAATGTATTTTACACGAGTGCAGAACCTCTACCATAACAAATAAGGCTTGATCAGACATGTCAAGATTGGTTCGCTCTAAAGGTTAGGTATGGTAGAATAAAAAGCTCTTACGAAAGCACAATATACTTTAGACTTTAGACGGATCAAAATAGTCCAGCTTGACTCTTCACATGACATAGCAACTTGAATAAGTGCATGTTTTGTTAACTATGGGACTTCCCGGATCGAATATCTGCTCGTATTATTGCAGAAGGTGCAAATAATTTTACAAGACTATTTTACTGTAATATTACACAAAAACATAAGTATAATGTTGCGTCAACTTATCTACCATTTGCATGTATGAGTGAGTAATAGATTAAATTACTTTCACTGAAACTTATGATTCACTTTAAGATAATAAAATAGCGCGCAAGATAGTTTATACTGGAATTGATTATAAACTTGAATATCTCAGAAAATAATCATCATCAGTATAATTCACTGAGATAAACATTTTGTAAATATTTTTATTGTTTACTATCTATCGTTCGATATACATAATATTTCCTTGTGGAAAATAGGCCTATTCAAAATGACGATTTGTATTCGGCTCAAGATCTTTTTCTTACGTCTGCGTTAACCAGGTAGAGTTACTGAGACCTGACAGAGATCTTTATTGGAGATCATAATATCCCTTTTTTCAGACCCAGTGTTGTAAAATTTTAATTATTATCACTACAGTAAATAATTGCATTGGATATAGGTATGAGTAGAAAAATAAGAGCTTCTGGTTTGTAGTGTAATTTTTGATAATAAGATAGCTTGTCAGATTGCGGTTTCTAATAAAGTAAACTTTTTTACCTATCGGGCTTCCAATTATAATTATGTAAATTATTTCATCGTTGACTCATCCTAACAAAGCTGACTCTTATCAAGGAACATGGAAATAATCTCGAAAGTGTTACTTCCAGTGAATACTAATTACAAATGACTAATTAATATGATTGGCAATGTTGCAATTTATCATCCTTTGTTGTTAATTGAACACATCATTCATTTATTTAATATGTGTATTTCTCTGGCATAGGGCATAGGGATTCAAGTGCCTTTATTGTCTAGTAAAACGAAGTTGCAATCTTAAGGCTTAAATTGTAAAGGCAAGATGAAACAAAATTTTGAGTTTGCTTAGGAAATTATAAAGCCAATCGAATCTATCTTAACTTACTTAAGCTATCAAAAACATAACTTGTAAAAAATCAGGTCTCTCTACTCAGTTGATTTACCTAAATTCTGAGATCCATCTGTAATACCAAGTTGGTTAATTTATTCAGGCCTTTCAGATTCACTTTACAGTTTAATAGTAGGTAAAACTGCTATGCCGTGTGGGGACGGCCATNTTTGTGCGCGAGCCCGACTCGCACTTGGCCGGTTTTAATACTTATTTTTATTACAGGATCGCTTGCCTCTTGTGTCTACCGTTTTATTGGAGCTACACAACGAAAGATTTTGGCCCGATTTGCAAAATTGCTAAAGTCTCTTGTGTAGAGTCAATGTTTCTAAACTTGTGCCAATTTATTACAGCAGAAATTACTGCCTATTGATTCGAGTGAAACTAGAATCTCAACCATATGTTAAGGCTACAAATCACGCCACTCTACATTGCCTAATCAGTATTATGATGTACTAGCGGCCACCTCGACTTCTTACGCGTGGGTTCCGTTTTACCCCCTTTGGGGTTGAATTTTACAAAATCCCGCTTAGTAAGCACCTACGTTCTAAAAGGAACCCCAAAATTTGAGACTCCTAGCACTTGTAGTTTCTGAAATTTCGTGATGAGTGAGTCAGTGACCTTTTGCTTTTATAGATAAAAATAAGTACTTATGGATTAGGATCATGAAACAATGCCCGAAATACATGACCTAAAAAGTAGATTTACATACACGTTTGGCATCGGATCGTGACCAGTGTGTGAATCCACAATACCCGCGTTCCACATTGAAGGGCATCCATAAATTCCACGTCAGCCCGCGTCTGGTAACTGGGTCATGACGATGACAGATGTATGGAAAAAGGCCATGGGAGCGGATCTCACACTTTAATCAACTGGTATTACTGGTATGTAGGTGGTACGTAAATGTCCCCAATATGAGGTAAAACTCAAGCTCTTTGCAATTAGGTGAGAAGAATTTCATGTTTTATTTAATAAATGAAATAACATAAAAGAACCAATCTATTTTAAGACTCTCTAAAATTTTAAGCTATTCATTTTTAATTTGACCTTTTACATATTATTTTTTAATTAAAAAAAACATTCTTTCTTAATGAAAAATCCGTGCCCCAGACGGGCTTTCCATTTTCGAAGTGTGTTTAAAGAATTCTAAAAATATAAGTTATAAAGTGCGATATAAGTAGTAATTTTATAATAGCTTTCAAATTAAAGTTATTTATTTATGCAAAAATGCTCCCAAAAAGCATTTTTACTTTTTTATTCCATTCTACTTATTTTGAAGCTTTTACTATATTGCATATAGGCATTGATATCACTGAACAAAAAGTATATGGGCACCCTTCCAAATGTAACGGATAAAAAAGCAAAGATACCCACGAAAGCAACACTTGAACTTATGTTTTTATACCACTTGAGTCTATTTACTATATTGTAGAAGAATAATAAGCTGAATTTTACATTACACGTGTTTTGAGTTCAACTTTCCGCTACAAGTAATAAGGTCCACTTTCGTGGCGGTTCTGAAATTGGATGAAAATTTCATTCAAGTTGGTGCTCTGCGGGGTTACTCCGGAACACGTTATCCAAAGTTTCGAATGTTGCCATCCCACTCACGCAAAGGGAGATGTCAGTATGAGCGACGGTGACAGTTAGACCCGAAACTACGTAAACAGCGTTTCGTAGTAGCTTTGCTGAGCCTGCATTGGCGGTAGGCCAACCGCGCGGGCAAATGTTGCAAAATTTCCTCTCGAATAGGGGAAACTAGTCTATTTTAGGACTACAGAACCCTTCAGTGCACTTTGACTGAATCATTGAGAAAACCCCGTAATCACGTTAAGCCTGTGTCACAGTTATAGGCTTTAGAGCCCGCAACATGATGATGAGTAGTATAGAAAATAATTATACACCATAAATGCTACGAGTATCACACCTGCTTCACCATAGAATAGTTTATGATGAATTAATTTACTATTGTTAATAGTCGAGTAGAGTTAAAAGTGTGTAAAAGTGCTTTTTAAAAGCCTATTTGCAAAAATAAATGAGTTTTATGAGTTTTAAAAATACCTCTATCAATTAATTCTATCTCAACAAGTATCAAATTAAAATAAATCCCGCCCTTGCACTCCATTAATCTTAAAAGCAAAACGATTATTAAATAGTTTTGAATTTAAATTAACTATACAGATTGTATTATCAGGTTAATAAGAACACTACAAACTCCCAGACAGACAGATCCAATTATATTTTCCTTTGGAGTTTTTGGTCAAAAGACAAGAATTTAGTACTACGAAATTATCTGCTAACTTCTCATTAATAAAATTATTTGATATTGATTCAATTAGTATTCATAGGGGCGAGATGGTTTGTTTTAAAGAAACGGCGTCTGTGATTTCGTTTGAGATGAGTTTAAATTTCATCAAAGTAAATAATCTTTTGGAAAAAAATTAATCAAACGAATTTGGATAAAAATTCTGATGTATGAGCTATATTATAATGGAGTTTCATAAAAATAGTTTCAATAGTTTTTACGAGAAAAAATAATAAACATACCTACATTACTACTGACAATAGATTCCACTACTAACTACTACACTACATGCCACAGCTTGATCTACCATTGTCCTTAGTCCGTACTTTGAACAATATGTAAAAGGAAGTCAACTAAGGGTTTGTATAATAAATTTGGGATTTGCTGGCTACGCCTAAATCCGGGTCCCACAAACGGTCCCTGCCTTAGTCC